CCGGAGCGCTCCAGCTGGATGAGTTCACGGGTTTCGACTCTTGCCGTGGGTTTTTTTCTTCTCCCTTACCGTCAGCGTTCCCCATAACCGCCTCAGTGCCAGTTTTTAAAAGGTCCGGGTCCCCCCCGCTGCATCTGCACGGGTCCGGCCCCTGCTCCCAACGGGGATGCCGCTTCATTTCCCGGGCAGGGAGCCCCGGGATGCACACCATGAATAGCAGCGTGATTTAGAAACTGTCTGGCCTCCCCCCTGCCAGGGGTTTCGCTGCTCCCCGTCCCCCGTCTGCAGGCAGAAAGGTGTGGGTGCCTCACGGAGCAGCCCGGGGCTGACGGGCAGCAGTCCCTCCTGCGAGCAGCTGTGGTGGGTGCCAACTCGTCCCCGGGCCTGCAAGCACCCGTCCCTGCGTGCCACCCCACAAGTGCTTCTGGAGGGGTTTCATACAAAGGTTGTTCACGTAAGCCATGAGTCTGCACGACCTCAGCGGGGCTCTGTGTGAGCTGCTGCCCTGCCCGAAGCCCATCTCGGCACGGCTTTAACCCAAGTACCGTTCATCTGGAGAGATGCCCCTACCCTCTCCTCATACCCCTCAAACCAACATCAGCTCGGAAACGATGCAGGGTGTAAGTCATGGAGGGCAGAGGAATTCCTGCCTGACTTCCAGGTGGCACAGCCCCGCAGCCGGCACAACCTAAGAAACCTTTCCTCATCCCCACGCTATATCCTCACCATCGGAGCTCAGCCAGGTTTGCAATGGAGCTCTGCTCTTGCCTTGCCCCTTTTATCATTGTTTCAGCAGCACAGCGAGGGATACAAAATCATATCCTGTGAAAGTAGCCTGCTAAACGCACCCTGGAAAAGACTTACACAGTGGAGAGCAAAACAAAGAATTTGATATCAGATTGAAAAACATGTAACACATTCTGTAACTCTTGTTTCAGAAGTTAAAAAAAACCCAGGGAGCTACTTCCTAGCACCTTGCAGCACTCCTTTCTCACCTGTGAAGCAATCAGGCAGGAAGAGAAAGTGCATTTTCTGTGGGTCAGCCCTGCTGAAATGAGTTCACGGGCACCCCTGCGATGTGGTGGCGGAGCTGTGAGCCCTCCTGCCCAGCCCTGGGTGGCTTGTCCTTGTTGGACACCGAGGCTCCGTAGGGCACGCAGGGGAAGCAGCGTGGCCATGACATGTGGGATCCCAACCAGGCAGGGTGCTGACCTGGGCACGGCCTCAGCTCCTTGTGCTCGCCAGCCAGCCTAAATGCTGAATGCTGTAAACCCGAATGCATAAACCAAACTGGGCACCATCATAGAAACACCCCAAATAAATTGTCAGCCATAGGGAACGCTTCCCTAGTAGCATCCAAATACAGTTGGTGAGTTTTGGGACTCTCCTCTGCCTTAGTTTTTCTCTGTAACTCTTCCCTTTCCTCTTTATTGAGTCTCTTTTTGTCTGTTTGTATTTCATATCCTGCTTTATTTCTCCACTGGCTTCTCTCCTCATTTTTCTTTCCCTGTTCTGTAAAAAAAAAAAAAATACAAACTATATTATCTATTTGTATCAGACATAATTACCAGTATTCCAAATATTGTTAGGATTAGGCCATAGCCAATTAGCAGTACAAGATGTTTTTTATTTTATTTATTTTTATCTTTTATTTTATATCTGAATCTGTCTTAAAGCACTACTCACCAAACACTGAGGAGTGTGTCGAGTATGGTGACCCCAATCCATTTGGGATCAACACCCCATTCCCTAAAAATGGGCACCTCTACCCTTGCAAAGAATTGAGCAGACTTTGCGCTTTCTTCTCAAAGACACGCAGCAAAGGAGAAGGGGGAATAGGCCCGCTCCCACCGATGGTCAAGCACACTCACCCAGAAAGGGGGAGCCCAGCTCTGAGTCCCCAGAAAAACACCCCCACACAACCTGCCAGCAGGCCTTAAGAGTGTGTTTGTTCTGGGCATGCGGAGAAATAGCTGTATCTCCGCTCCACCAAGGGCCTGAAATGGAAATTCAGAAGCCCTGTTATAACACGTTACAACATCACGGACATCCCGTTAACACCCATGTATCCTGAAGCGTGCTGGGGCACTTACCCTGTGCTAAGGCTGGTTTACTGAAGGGAAGGCACCTTTTCTGCCTCTGAGCTAAAAGAAATGGATAGCTGCACTTTGAGGGGACATCAGCCCTTATGGTGAGTATTTGGACGCGCGGAGGGTGCCCCATACCCGTCTCCCAGGGCCCTGAGGTGGAGGAAGACTCAGGCTTACCCAGCTTGGACTAAACACTCATCCTCGTGGGAAAAGTGGCTGTGTGAGTGATAGATGGAGCCACAGATATAGATGATGCGTGAACTTTAAATCAGAAAGTAAAGGGCTACGGAGCCTTCCGGCAGGGCAGCATGTGAGCTGACATTTTTGGGATCACAATTTTGGAGTCTTCTGCAGGCACTCCAAAGTCTTTTGGCTTTGACCCACAGTTAGTACCCAGCATGCAGAACCGAAGGCTTAGCTGCCGGTGCCAGTTTTGCTGTATGAATGTTTTGTTAGACCCTGGGCTTTCAGGAGGCCCTGCTGGTTTAATAGTCACCTTCTGCAGCTGAAATACCATTCACACCCATGGCTCTTGCATGTTGCTGATTGGAACCTATTTTGAACACCAGAAAACAAACACAGAAAGAGCATGAGCAGAGAGTGCACTCATTTTTTAAAAGGTGCTCGAAAATATTGATTTGCATTAGGTGAGATTTTTGCCCAGGTGAACTGAGAGGAACTAGCCAAGGACGCTTGGCACCAGAACCCCTCTGTTCCCACAGTAAACCCTGAGCCCCATCTGGGGCAGACAGTAACCAGAAGAGGGGGCAGAAGCCCAAATCTTAGGAGCAGCTCCATCACATCACTTGGTGGGGCTCAGACACAATGTGAACGAAGCATAACTCTCTCTGCCCAGGACACGCATAAAGCAATACACAGTTTCCCCCCTCCCACCCAACTAAAAATACATCGTATTTATAAAGCACGTTTCCCTTATGTACTTTTTTAGCAAGCTTCAGCAGGAAAGAGAGGACTGTTTTTACACATGGTGTACAGACAGAAATACTCCAGCCAGTGGGTGAGAGCTAGCGGCGTCACAGTGAGACTGAAATATAGCTGTGGCTCAGCCCTTGGAGACAGCCTGGCTTCTCTCCACGCCCCCAAGAATTTCCTTCTGAGCATCTATAACGTATTTCTTCCTTTTCCCCCAAATCAGGGGTTAGGAGGAAGATGAACCACATGTGGGAATGACTCATTAATTGTCCAGGTGACCCACCTGGATGAGGAGAAAAAGTTGCTAATAAAAGGTTCTGCCCCAGGGGTAGGGGAAATGATGTTATGTGGCTTATTTGCCTTTGAGTACAGGCTGTAGCAAAGCACAGAGTAGACCAAAATAAGAATTTTTGAAGGTAATGGGATATATTTTTCATTTATAATACATAATGAAAGATTTGGGGTTATTGTGGACTTTATGTTCTTTTGTAAGTTAGCTGCATTTGTAGCACAGTATGTTTGTAATGTGAGTAATCAGAATATGAAAATTATTGTCTGATAATAGGGATAAGGAGTTATGGCTTGGTTTGCTTGGATTTTATTATGGGCTGGGATTTTTTTGTTCCTCCCTCCTAAATATTATTCTGATTTTTCTTAAATATTTAAATCTCTCTATAAAAACTACACAAAAGACCCACATGTTAATCTAGTGATGGATGTTCTTGTATATTGCAAACAGCTGTGCTGGAAGCTAACTGTCCTATTTACTCATAGATTAGAAATGCTATTTAAATGAGTATTTTTGCCACTGCAATTGTAAGAGTACTCTAACTGGACTGAATTTCCTTAATCTTGAGTAAATAGATAGTAATTTCTATTCTTCAGCCTGCACTGTGCTGTCTAAGTCAATTCTTCCTTTTCCTGGTGCAGAACACCTCCAGTACTCTCATAGCAGCCAGAGAATATCCCTTGAGGAATTAATTTAGAACTTCGTATGAAATCCTCTTGGAGTATTTTGGGTGTAAGATGCTGTGGGCCACTGGAATTTTTCAATTGTTAGATTTAAAATGAAAGAAAGATCTAACTTGATAATGGAAGAAATTAGAATACAGATTCCTCTTGGAAGAAGAGGCAGGCTTGGCCTCAAGTTAGCTTTGAGGTAACGGTTATGGTGCTTAAGAAAAATCTCATTAGAGAAGACCCGCTGTGCCTCAATCCCAAATACTCGCCAAGTAGCAGGGAAAAGCCTCTTTTATTTTGAGCTCTTCATATCTACTTCACTAAGTCTTTCTTGACAGGTTGTCAGACCACCCTGGTTTTACAATGAGATCTCTCACCTGAAAGGTAGGCTGTAAAAGGGTAGTAGTAGTTAAAATCTTGGCTCTACTATTAATGAACTGTGGTGTGTGGCTCGCTCTTTCCTCAAGAAAAGAACAAGCTTTCTTCTTGATGTGGAAAGGCAGAAAGCATAACTCACCTTGCTGTTGTTTCCTCTTGCTATCAGTTAGCTGTAGCCCAAGCCCCCGGGTAGTTTGAAGATCTCCAACCCTTTGTGTCTCCTCACCCGTCAGAATGTCTGTACGTGGAAAGAAACACGCAGTGGCTGGCAAAACTGGAGCTGCACCGAAGAAAACCAAATCAGCTCAGGCTGGTCTGCAGTTCCCCGTGGGTCGTGTCTACAGGCTCCTTAAAAGAGGGAATTACGCTGACAGGATCGGTCCTGGCGCTGCCATCTACCTGGCTGCAGTGCTGGAGTACCTGAGCGCAGAGATCCTGGAGCTGGCAGGGAACGCTGCACATGAAAACAAGAAAGCCAGGATCCTGCCCAGGCACATCCAGCTGGCCGTGAGAAATGATGATGAGCTGAACAAGCTCCTCTCCTGTGTGACCATTGCTCAAGGAGGGGTTTTGCCAAATATCCTTTCCCAGCTCCTTCCCAAGAAAACTGTCAGAGATGCTGCTCCTTCTCAGGAACAAGGTGGCAGCCGGTGAAACTTGCTTTTCCTGGTCTGGTCTGTGCACTTACAGATGATGGGACTTGGTAGCACTAATTTGTATGTGTTTTGCTTCTTTGTCAAGTGTTTTTCCTGCTAATTTTAATGCATTTTTAAACCTTGTAATAAAGTTCCTAGAATGCAACACTGTTCTCCTTTCTTTTCCTCAGGTCCCCTTCTGGGGATGGAGGAACACAGAAAATGTCAAAGTCTAGCATAACACCCAAATAACTTTTTTAAAAGTCAAGTACGTCTGCTTTTGAAAACATGTTACAAGTAACTGTTGCGGAGCAGGCAGAGGAGTCAAGACGCACTGCCATTCAGGTTCATGTGAACTTTTCCTCCATTGCAGATCCATAGTGCAATTAGTTCAGTGCTTCAGAGGTTGTTTAACTCTGCTTTAGAAGTTAGTAACCCTGTGCTTTAAAGTCTTATTGCTTGTAAAGTTGTAATGAACAACTACCTGTCTTTAGACAGCTCCAACATGACTAAACCTCTAGCCCCTCCATCTTGTCATAATAACCATAGGTAGCTTATTTAAAACCTGGTGCAATATTTGTGCTGTTGGTAGAGGTGACTGTCTTGCTTCTGTCTATCAGTGCAGAAAAACAAAAGTCTCCATATCCAAACAATCCCCAGGCCTTTGCTGACCAAGTCATTGAAGGTCTTCCCCCAGGAAAGTGCCCACGGTTTCTCTGTTCATAGTGGGTGCTGAGGCTTGCTCTTGAACGGGAAACCAGGGATCTGCTGCAGCTGCATTAGGATCAGTCTGCCCCCAAGGCAGTATCTCACAAACTTCACAGCATCTCACACAGAGAAGAGCTGGTTAGGACCAGCTTCCTAAACTGTAGCCGGAGCATGAACTTTTTATTTGAAAAAGCAAGGAGGGGTTTTGCCAAATATCCTTTCCCAGCTCCTTCCCAAGAAAACTGTCAGAGATGCTGCTCCTTCTCAGGAACAAGGTGGCAGCCGGTGAAACTTGCTTTTCCTGGTCTGGTCTGTGCACTTACAGATGATGGGACTTGGTAGCACTAATTTGTATGTGTTTTGCTTCTTTGTCAAGTGTTTTTCCTGCTAATTTTAATGCATTTTTAAACCTTGTAATAAAGTTCCTAGAATGCAACACTGTTCTCCTTTCTTTTCCTCAGGTCCCCTTCTGGGGATGGAGGAACACAGAAAATGTCAAAGTCTAGCATAACACCCAAATAACTTTTTTAAAAGTCAAGTACGTCTGCTTTTGAAAACATGTTACAAGTAACTGTTGCGGAGCAGGCAGAGGAGTCAAGACGCACTGCCATTCAGGTTCATGTGAACTTTTCCTCCATTGCAGATCCATAGTGCAATTAGTTCAGTGCTTCAGAGGTTGTTTAACTCTGCTTTAGAAGTTAGTAACCCTGTGCTTTAAAGTCTTATTGCTTGTAAAGTTGTAATGAACAACTACCTGTCTTTAGACAGCTCCAACATGACTAAACCTCTAGCCCCTCCATCTTGTCATAATAACCATAGGTAGCTTATTTAAAACCTGGTGCAATATTTGTGCTGTTGGTAGAGGTGACTGTCTTGCTTCTGTCTATCAGTGCAGAAAAACAAAAGTCTCCATATCCAAACAATCCCCAGGCCTTTGCTGACCAAGTCATTGAAGGTCTTCCCCCAGGAAAGTGCCCACGGTTTCTCTGTTCATAGTGGGTGCTGAGGCTTGCTCTTGAACGGGAAACCAGGGATCTGCTGCAGCTGCATTAGGATCAGTCTGCCCCCAAGGCAGTATCTCACAAACTTCACAGCATCTCACACAGAGAAGAGCTGGTTAGGACCAGCTTCCTAAACTGTAGCCGGAGCATGAACTTTTTATTTGAAAAAGATCTGCCTGTCCTGTTGAGTTTGACCTAGCTCCTTTGCCCCCTCAAGGCACGAGAGTGTCAGAGCCTGCTGGCCAGGTTTTACGATGCTGACAGACGTCAGAGCTGTATGCAGCTGAGTTAATGACTCACTCCAAACTGTGCTTACACAGAAATGGGAAGAGAGGATACCTGACTGTCATGGTTTAACCCCAGCCGGCAACTAAGCATCACCCAGCTGCTCACTCGCTCCCCCCGATGGGATGGGGGAGAGAATCAGAAGGGTAAAAGTGAGAAAACTCGTGGGTTGAGGTAAAGACAGTTTAACAGGTAAAGCAAAAGCCGTGCACACAAGCAAAGCAAAACAAGGAATTCATTCACTGCTTCCCATCGGCAGGCAGGTGTTCAGCCATCTCCAGGACAGCAGGGCTCCATCATGCATAACGGTGACTTGGGAAGACAAACGCCATCACTCTGAATGTCCCTCCCTTTCTTCTTCTTCCCCCAGCTTTATATGCTGAGCACAATGTCATATGGTGTGGGATATCCCTTTGGTCAGTTGGGGTCAGCTGTCCCGGCTGTGTCCCCTCCCAACTTCTTGTGCAGCCCCAGCCTACTCGCTGGTGGGGTGGGGTGAGAAGCAGAAAAGGCCTTGACTCTGTGCAAGCACTGCTCAGCAGTAACTAAAACATCCCTGTGTTATCAACACTGTTTCCAGCACAAATCCAAAACACAGCCCCATACTAGCTGCTCTGAAGAAAATTAACTCTACCCCAGCCAAAACCAGCACACTGACTGAGCAGACACTGTGATTTCAGGGTGGTAGGCAGCTGGAACAGTCATTGTATGCCGCCTGGTTTTCAAGAGCAATTTGATGAGATCTTGGCTGGCCTGCAGTTAACCCAGTGAAGTGAGAGAAAGTGGAGGATGCTGTCACAATGAGAAGTAAAAATGTCTGAGAGTAGATCTTAAGCTTTGTGCATGTAGTAAAGGTGTGCTATATGTAACTAGCCTTGTGCTGAGTGTTTACACCTGTAAATGGAAAAAAAAAAAGCTTTAAAGGAGGTACATGAGAAATGAACACATGAAACTCAGTTTCCTCCATTTGACCATGGCAAGGGAAAGCAGGCTTGGGAATTATTTATTTGGATCAAGCAAAAATCTAAAGCAAGGTACTAATTTTGTGCAGTTTCAAGCATGGTGCTTACAGCACCCTTTGCTAATCTGGAGATCTAGGTGTCAGTCATCATGCTGCTGCTGGATGCAAGCTGCTCCTGTGAGCCTGCTCTGCACCACACCAAACAGACCTTGCAAGGCACGACCAGTGCTCAAGCAGCTTCTAGAAATGCCTTCACCTGCCATTTTCTGTATGATAAAAGACACTGAGGGAGCTGTGTGGCCCTACCTGTACTTACACCCAAAGATAGAGTTTGTGGTGAAGTACTGGTCCAATTCAAAAGTCAATTTTTTAAGTATTTCTTTGATCAAGAAAAACCTTGTTTGCTTTCTTCCAGCCAATAGTTCAACCCATCTGTAAATTAACCAGATAGCATAGTGATCTGAAAACTGACCCCTCTGGCTTCGCAGTAACAGGGTAGATGTCTCCTAACCCAGCTGCTCAGCAAAAGTTTCTGTTGAGCCAGGGCTCAGCTTTCCAGCACTCATGCATTGAAGAAAAAAATTATTCAGTTGCCACCACACCCTTGACCCTAAAAAGGGCATATTATGCCTTGTAGACAGCTACGCATGACTTCGGAAAAAAACTGGACTGTGTGGCAGATAGGGACAAGTGCTAGAAGAGAGAGAAACCAATGTCAGAGGTCCTGAGCTTTCCCAGGCTCTGCAGCGTGGTCACAAAGCAGCTTGGCCACTGCTGGCAACACAAAGAACAGCGGTACAGGTTGCCGGGTTTAATTCCTGATGACTGCAGAAAGGTGAGGTGTGCCCCCTTCCAGCTGTAATAAATTAGCTGCTGATCAGAGATACTGCAGTTCTCTGAGGCAGTAAATATTAGGCTTCTTTCCAGAGGAGATCAGCTAACAAGGTGCCAAGCAGCTCTACAAGGAGTAGCGACAAATTCTCATGCTCTCAGGGACTGTACTGAGTTGCTTGTGTGTTGGGACCTTGATAGTTTTTTATTTTGAGTGGATGAATCATTGCTCACCCAGGTGGCATTAAATGATGCAAGAGCTGGTAATGATATGGCTACCGCTGTGGAGTTTAAAAGGGGGCAGCTCTTGCCAGAGGTTGTGGTTTGGGAGACTTGTGTACTGGTTTTGTTGGAAAAGAGGCTAAGTTAATAACTTTTTCAGGTAAGAGTTTGTTCTCAAGAAATAACAGCATGCTTTCTTTGTGTTAGATAAGCTCCTGAGTGAAATAATGGTTTTGTAAGTTCTGTGTTTGGTATAAGGTTGCTTAAGGGGGCTTTTAGGTTTTTTAATTTATTTACTTGTGTAGGCTATTTTTAAAAGCTTATCTTTCTAAGGCCCACAAAAATCTCCTAAAAGAACTTTTTATTGTATTTTTAAACACTTCAATCTGATATCTGATTTAGTTCCTCCCCGCATCTGAGTAGAGCTTCTCATTACTTAAAAACAACTAATGATTAAAACTTGAGAATAATTCTATATACAAGAGCAGAATTTTCCTGTGTTTGTTTTCCAGTTGCTTTGTGTTATGCATTGAAGAGTAATTGGTACTATACAGTACCAGAGACTTTATGTCAATAATAAGTGATGGGGCTTGTTAGAATGGATGCAGTACCATATAAGAAGATGGTACTTGTGCATTTGTAGTAGCCTGACGCACAGTGCGCTGAGCAGAGCAATTTCAGTGCCTGATGTAAAACAAAGCTTCTCTTCTTCCCGTAAGTCTTGTTCCTGATTGTGGCCTGTTATCTTGCAGCAATAGGTCCCCTCACCTCTGGAAGACAAGATCCATTTGAAGTGGTTTCCAGTAGATGAAGTTCTTTCCTGTTGTTGTTACTTCAGACAAAGATATGAATTTCTAGCTCTGGCTCTCACAAGGTCATCATTGCAGAAACTGCTTAGGTTCTTAACAGGGGTAAGTTTTTGAAGCTTCACTGCAGGGTTTCTGAACACTTCTAAGTATCTTGAAGCCTAGTTTGCTTAACCTTTCTCCTTAACAGCAGACTTCCTTTGATACTGGGTCAGAAGACCTTGTGCCTAAGTTCTAACTTACTCTCTTGAAAAGTTTTGGAAGTCTAGCAGATGGCTGACCTGCTGCTCTGACTGAGCTTGTAGATGCCTCTTGGCTGGAAACTTGTCAGATTTGCCTAAAGCAGCAGCCTGACCCATCTGCTCCTTCAGACAAAAGTATGAACAACTAAAAAACTTTCTGAGAGGGGAAAACTGACTTGTAAGGGAATTAAGCAGTGAAATGAGGAAGAAAGGACTTAAATGCTCAGTTTCTGTGACTGTTTGTTTTGGGTTTTTAATTCTTTCTCTTTTTATAATAGATTGATGTTAGGATGTCTGAATGTGGGAAGAAAACCACAAAGCTCCCCCTTTGTGCCAAAGAAAACCAAATCAGCTCAGGCTGGTCTGCAGTTCCCCGTGGGTCATGTCTACAGGCCCCTTAAAAGAGGGAACTACGCTGACAGGATCGGTCCTGGCGCTGCCATCTACCTGGCTGCAGTGCTGGAGTACCTGAGCGCAGAGATCCTGGAGCTGGCAGGGAACGCTGCACATGAAAACAAGAAAGCCAGGATCCTGCCCAGGCACATCCAGCTGGCCGTGAGAAATGATGATGAGCTGAACAAGCTCCTCTCCTGTGTGACCATTGCTTGAGGAGGGGTGTTACCTAATGTTCTTCCCGAACTACTTCTTAAGAAGACCATCTTGCTTAAACTGGCCCACAAATATGTCCAGTCACAGGAGTTCTAGCTGCCACCCAGGCTCCTGACCTTGTGATGTTGTTAACACTGGCTTTCTCAACAGCTCAGAGTTTTTCATGCTGGTTGGCATTTTTGGTCTAAATTTGTGTGTGTCTACCTGTGCACATGTCTGAAAAGCTGCTAAAGACGGGGTTGCTAAGTTAGGTTTCCCTAGCTATGTCCTTCAAAAGAAAAAAGTCAACAGCCTACTTCTATGAATAAATAAGTGCAAAGGACTCATGTCCATCTTATTCCCTTCTATAAAAATATTTGTTGCACCAAACAGAAGATTTTCTTTGGAAGTGCAGTTATCTAAGGAAACCTGCTCTATGGCCTTTAAAGCTTGTGTCTCCATGTGCATGGCTGGGATCTCCTTATACAGTATGTGTAGAAGTCTGCTTCATCTGACCACTTCAGACCTCACAATGGGCACAGTTAACTATTCAGGGTAGATAGATGCACCTGAGAAACTTAAACTGGACTGCCTTATAATGATGGTAAAGTTAAATTATCTTCTTTAACATTTGGATATGGAGGTAGGGCTGTGCTGTAACTTCAGAGTGTCACTGCACACACCTTGGTCCAAAGATGGTGTTGGAATTGTCCTGAGTTTCTGCATTGATGGAGTGCAATCCAAGGAGTCTTCTACAGACCGTATATAAACCTTGTCAGTGCTTGAGCCTTAAAGATCTTCTAGAAGCTCTTCTTAAGAATGAATCCAAATATAATTTCTACCTCTCTGGTACTGAGAATCTCCTTAGCTGCTTTGAGGCTTGTTCCATTAGGATCCAGATCAAGGAAACCTGTGTTTAAAAGGTAATCCAGGAAGTAGCCTTTTCCAGGATCTTCCAAAACTCGTCTTCTACCTATGCAGCTTGAAAGGCTACTTAAGCGCTATTAGATTTGCGCTCTAGTTTGCAATGTTATGGTGGACACACACTAGTATTAATCTGTTTGCTGTGCTGCAGAAGATTTTGCTTAACAGCTTCACCATCAGGATGCCACTTAAGAGCTTTATTAAGTGTTTGAATTATTCTATTCATAACACAGAACAGGAAGGCCCTAGTGTCCACCAGTTTCAGACATATTAATCCAGCCAGGTAAAAAGGCTGTTTAGAGAACTGCCTCAAGACTGACCCTACCAGCCCGAGGTTTGGGAGCCTCTGTTTCCCATATTTGCCCCATAGTAATCCATATTATGCCGCTGCTTTCTCTAGTGTAACTCTCATCTCCCTGGTTTTCTGGTCTTGTGAGAACTGGGACCTTTTGAAGAATGGGTTGCAGAGAGTTCACCTCTTCGTATAAGCAGGCTAGGGGATTTAAACAAAGGGCAAGAAGCCAGGAATGAGGTATTGTGGGACTGCAGCCAGAGGACTTTCTGTATGTGAAACATCTAGCATGCGTGTAAGCTGCAAATACCTACTAGGGGCCATGCTATGAGAAGGCAAAGAGAAGACAGTGTTGGTATCAGGTCAGTCCCAGCATAACTGGCTGCTATGGGCACTGGAGAGAAGTGATTTATAGTGTGGATAGTAGACAAATGTTGTTTTGAGGGCAGCCATAAGATCAGCCATTGCTCTCTGTGTAAACATGGCCACTTTTGGCTGGACATCTAGAGGGTGAAATGGTGCCAAAGTGCTGACCTGCACCATAAACCAAACCCTCCAAGCTGCTGTCTTGGAAAGCAAAAGCAGCTCCTTAGGGGGCTGCTGCATGTTTTCCTACAGCAGTTTCAACAGCACTGACTGTATGAGCTGTGTTTGAAGAAAAACAGTCCCCTGTTTCCCTGTCAGGCTGATGGTTACGTTTCGTGCTGTGTTGGCTCAGAGGCTTGCTCCTGGCCTGTCTGAGCCACCCACAGTATGGGTGCCCTGCAGCAGCATGGGCTTGTGCAACTCCTGCCATGCTGCACTGCTTCCTCTGCTGTGCCAACACAGCTGCTTATGGCACCTGCTGCGAACCAGGCTGCTGCTGGGCTCATGTGTTTAAACCTTTTTTTTTTTTCCTTCTTTTTAAAAAGGAAAACTCACATCAAGCTACTTGTGTGTGCCTTTCACAGTGGTGCTGGCACAACTCAAGGGTTTGCATGGGGGCAGGAAGAAGAGACTGAGCGTGGGATGATGGCTGGAGCTGCTGAGGCAGAGATTGCCTCCACAGTGTGGGCTGTGACTCTGAAGCCCTGTGGGAATTTTGAAGGTCTCTGCCTGGAATGAAGCTGTATCGCACCAGGTACATGAGTTGAGATGACCCATGGAACAGGAGGTTTCAGCAAACCCCTGTGCCTATAGAAAAATTACCAAAAAAGGGAAAATTAATGGAGACCTTTCCCCATGTCTCAGCTCTTCTGCAGAGGAAGCAAATCTTGACCCTGGCTTGTTTAAGGGAATGACCCCCATCTTCAGGAGCTGTATGGCCTGTGCTGGGACAAGCTGGCCAAGAGGCGCTGCTGCTGCCCAGGGTACAGGGCTCAGCCTGAGACTCTGTCAGAGGGAAAGTAGCCATCGGGGTGGTGCTGGTTGGTCTCTCTGTCTTTGTTGCCAAATAACTAATTTAAATTAATATAAAAATTATATTAATATAAATTTTTATATTAAACTCATCTAGCTTTACCAGAAAGTTTATGTAGGTTTAAGCATGACTGCAGGGTGGCTGGCAAGCTCAAGGCATCCTGTTACTCTAGAAGCAGCAAGCTTGGGAAGATGTGGTCTGTCACGGCTGAGTGCCCAATAGGTGCTCTGGGGTCTGCAGCTCATGTCTGCTAAACTGCAAGGAGGGGAGAGGCATCACCCCCAACAGTGGCTCACCATCACGTTCTTGGGAAAACTCAACTGATAAGAACAAACTGGAGGAGTACTGGAATGGGGAGGGGGCATGGGGCACTGACAGGTCCAGGGAGAGCCACAGGGAAAGGGCATCCCTGGAGTACCCAGGGGTCCCAGAAGCTATCGTACAGCTCTGCTCTGTCTTTAGGAATTAGAGCTGACCTACAGACATACTGGTTCCTGAAATATGCCTTGCTGTGGCTCTCCTGGTCTCTGTGCTCACTACTACAGCTTTTCTGTTGCACTTCTAAATGTAGAACCACCAGTGCATTCATTCCTGCTTTTTTGTGAAGTCTCAAGACAATTGAAAAGATAATGCCCAATGTTAAGATATTAATTTTGGGGAACTCATTAATTCTCCCAATTCTGTTTCTCTCCTGCAGCTGTGAAGCCTATTTTGTCTTTCTTTTGAAGATACATATGCTTACGACATTATGCATGCTTTAATGGGGTACTTTTAATCTTTGATTAAAAAAAATCCATTGTCAGTTTAAATACACAATAAAACATATTCAGCCTTCTTGCATATCCTCAGCCCTGTTCATTACCAGGTTGTGCACTGCTCTACCCCAAATAAATGCCTTGATAATATGTGAAGCACATGGTTTGTGAAGGCTATCCTAGCGGCTGGGTCAGACTCTGCTCCTGTTTCCACCACCACTGCCAGCTTCACTTCTTTCTCAGTCTCTCTTCCTCAGCTCTCCTTGCTGTCCCAACTTACTTCCTTGTCTTCAGGGGGCAAATTGCTTATTAACTAGCTAATGTTCATTGACTATTTTGAGACTGTTGAGTGTTAGAACTACTGGAAATCATTGTTTTGTTTATACAAGCAGCTCATTAGCCTCCCAAACAAGGGGTTATATGAAGAGAGGGTGTGGGAGAGAACAGCACAACCATTTCCAGCATTGCAATGAAAAATGTATTCTTTCCAGCTTGCTCCAACTATCTGTGTGGCTTTCTTTGCAGTGCTGCGTGCAGCATCTGTGAGAATATTTTTGCCAGCAGTATTGTAGTGGGGTTTCTTAATCATTCTACCCAAAAAAAGACAAGTTCACTTAAACTCAGCTAGTAACCATTTTAACATTTATTATGCCTGCAATAACTTGGCAGCTGGGGAGAGGAGTTAGTCATGCTCTTAGAAATGTGTAACCAACGAACCAGCAAAATGTGCAAGCTGACCCTGCGTTCTCTCTGTGCTCTGATCTCCCTTGAAAGCAGGGAATGTGATCACTAGGCTGAGTTAGATTTTAAATGCATTTGTCAAAGTGGCAGACCCAGAAAGAGCATTCATTGCATAAACTTGCTAGCTGCATCCTTTGTCAGAGTGCAAGCTCTCTAACCTCTAAACCAAGGAAGGTGCACGCATGTTCTCAAACATCGCCTGGTCTGGGTGTACCTCTCTTCTTCCAAAGCACCGCAATTTAGATGTCTTTCTACGCGTGCCCCTGATCCAAGAGGTTTTTGTGAAGCTGCCTAAGGCTCAATTTGGCTGCTATACTTTCTTTCATACTTGCTGCTGTCAGCCCAAGGCGTTAGCAAGCTCTGTTGCTAACAGCCTGCCCTGGAGCTGTGTTATCCCAGCACCTTGCTTTGCACCACCTGTTGAATCTAGGGCTCTGAACTGCCACCAAGGACTCATGGTAAGTGAAGGTACCATGCAGAGGCAGCGCAGCAACAGAAAGAGGGAGCCTGACTCTGTTACTCAGTGGTTAGGTAAATCAACAAGGACGTTGACATTTCTTTTTTCCTTTATTTTTCAGCGTCTAGTCGAGGTGTGATCTCAGCCCATGAGTACACTTCCAGGTATCATGCCACGTAGCGATAAAAGGCAGTCAACAGGCCTACCTTGCATAATGCAGAACACAAGAGAAGTGCAAGTTAGTAACCTGAAAATAGCTGTTCTTCATCTAGGTCAGAGGAGAAACTTGGCTCTTTCTCCCTGTAGCATGCACTGAATCCAGGGCACTGGTTAAGCTGGAATTAATGACACAAAGGAGCAAACAGTGAGGGGCTGTGTCAAGCTGTCACAGCACTTGGCCGACTTTTTCTTTGGAAACTCAGATATAGCCGAGTCTTTCAGACATGCCCAGAA